CATATTCCAGGATTTTTTGGAAACTTTCTGAAAATGTTGTAATCCCTAATTTGCATTTCATCCAAAATTCAGCAGCTAGAATTTTAACTAGGACCAGATCAAGCGATCATATTACTCCCATTACTGAAAAAATATATTACTTTCTTTAAAAAAGTACTGACCCCAAACTTTTGAACAGTAGTGTATGTATTCGTTATTAATGTATTTGAATGCATTTATGAGTTTTTGAAACTAGAACGTTTCAAACCTTTTGTAGATCCATTTCTGGTAGAATGCAGTGAGAGCAGAGCTACTTAAGCTAGTTAGTATTAGTTAATTTGTAAGCAATCTCCAATACATGTTGGATGCTGTCTCATTCTGATTTGTTGTCATCAGTTTGTGTTGGAAGGTTATTAATGTTTTAGTATTTGCAATTCTCTGTGCACAGATAACACCATTTGACCCCGTATTCATGGACTTCCTTGAAAATGTCATTTATTTGTAAATGTGAGGCTGCAGGTTTTCTGGGCTTCTGTCCTGGTTGACCTGTACAACGTGAGCGTGCAATTCCTGGTTGTGTTTGCATCATTCTTTCGCTAGATGTGCCATGAATATTGCACTATGCTGCATTCTCTTGCAATGTGTTTGGGTCACTGTTCTGTGCATTATAATCGGTACTGTGTTATCTAGTGATCGCCGGTCACTGTCACTCATGAGAGGAGCTTGTGCTCTAAATGTGATGTAACTGAGCGGATATTTCAGGTAATGGGGTCTACAGTAATAGGATAAGTCCATGGATTTACAAGTTATTCGAAGTGGCTGACGCACTGCATTGTGGGAATGCACACATGCACATAAACAGTTTGCATGTGACCTCTTGATTTTTTCCCGTATACAGTTGTCTGAACATCATTTCATCAGATCAGCTGTCTCTTTTCCTCAAATGTACAACATAGGAACCACAGGTGTAGAGAATCACTTTAACTAACAACATCATAACCAAAACAAGCACAAACTCTTAAAAAGGCACAAAACTGTCACTGTTGCAGTACCCGGTCCCTTTCAAAAGGTACTAATATGTACACTTTAAGTACTAATGTGTACTTTTAATGTACTAAAATGTACTAGTTAGTGGTAAATAAGGTACAAGATGTACCTTTTTAGCTTTCACCGCCTCAGTGACAGCTTTGTGCTTTTTTTTGTCTTCATCTATTGATTCAGCAATCAGTTTTGTCTGTCAAATGTTTGTGCATCTTTCTTTGCAATAAATGACACTTGATTTTATATTGTATTCCTGATATAATCAGATTGAGACATTTTAGAAGTGCCCAAATACTCTCTGGGGTCACTGTAGATGAAATTGCAAAACAAATATATTTTAAATACTGTATATTCGTGTTCTAAGGTGATGATTTTAGGGCAGAAATTGTTCAGCAGCATATTTATTGGACATTTTTTGGACTGTCGGTCATCTTGGCTTTCAGTTGTCAGTTTAGAAGCTAGTTTTCACTTGTTTCCTTTTCGGTCATGGTGATGAATCCGTTTACACCTGAGTGTTTCAAACTACTCTTGCTGCGTCATCTGACCTGGTTCTGTATGTCTGTACGAGTCTGCGAGCGGTTCACGACATTCAAGAGGACACGTCTTACACATCACGCTGCATGCAGATTATCAGTGCGTAGGGTGTGTGTGTGTTTATTGACGCAGGATTAAAGTAATTCAGTGTGTCTGTCGGTTAGTATGTCAGTGTATCAGACAGTAGGTTTCACTGGAACATAAACGTCTTTGAATTAAATGCACAAAGCAGCTGCTTCCTGCGTTTGTGAATAGTCACTCAGTGCATGTGTATGTGCATACACACACACACACACACACACACACACACACAGACATGC